CGTGTCCCTGTGTGACTCCAGGCATTAAGGGCTGATCCGGCTCCATGATGTGGGCAGGGCAGCTTGGGGGGAGGATTAGGGGTGTCCAGCTCCTATCCCCAGCCCTGGATCCAGCCCCTGGTCCTGGATCCATCCCTGACCCAGACCCCTGTTGCTGGGGAAATGGGGAAACCAAGGCACCATTGAAGCAGCTGCCACATATCCCTGGTGCAGGAGGGACAGGGACAGGTTTTGGGGGAAACAGGAATAGTGTGGGAAGGGGCTGACACGTTGGGGGGTGGGGGGCTCTGCACCCCCCCATCGGGATGCGGCTGTCGGGATATGTAGGGCAGTGCTGGGTGATTACGGGGCTTTCGGCATAAGCCCGCAGAGATTGGATCACGCTGGATTAGGCTCCAATCATCCTCCTGCACCGGGGGGTGGGAGGGATGGAGGGACGGGGGTCTCCATCGCCCTCCTGGGGAAGGTGGGAGGGATTGTGGGGCGGCACAGGCTGCCTGTGTGGTCATTGATCCTTTTGTGTGGTCAGCCAGGCACCCATCCATCCCTCTGTCCATACGTCCCTCTGTCTGTCTGCCTAGCTGTTGAACCGTCTACCCATCTGCCTGTATGTACAGCCATTCACCCACCCATCCATCTGTCCAGGCAGACAGCCATTGCTCCATCTACCTGTTTATCTGTCCATCTGTGCATCCATCCATCCATCGGTCTGTCCTGTGGATATCTATCTGTCCATCCATCCACTGGCCTGTCCTGTAGCTATGTCCGTCTGTCCGTCCATCCATCCATCCATCCATCCACGTATCTGCCCATTCATCTGTCCATCCACTGGTCTGTCCTGTAGATATGTCCGTCCATCCATCCATCTGCGTATCTGTCCATTCATCTGTCCATCCATTGGTCTGTCCTGTAGATACGTCCGTCCATCCATCCATCCATCCATCCATCCGCGTATCTGTCCATTCACTGGTCTGTACTGTAGATATCCATCCATCTATCCATCATCCATCCATCCATCCATCGGTCTGTCCTGTGGATATCTATCTATCTCTCCATCCACTGGTCTGTCCTGTAGATATCCATCCATCCATCCATCCATCCATCCATCCATCCATCCATCCATCATCCATCATCCACCCATCCATCCATCCATCCATCCATCCATCCATCCATCCACCCATCCATCATCCATCATCCACCCATCCATTTATCATCCACCCATCCATCCACCCACCCATCCATCCATCCATCCATCCATCACCCATCCATCCATCCATCCATCCATCCATCCATCCATCCATCATCCATCCATCCATCCATCCATCCATCCATCCATCCATCCATCAGCCATCCATCATCCATCCATCCATCCATCACCCATCCATCCATCCATCACCCATCCATCCATCCATCCATCCATCCATCCATCATCCATCATCCATCCATCCATCCATCCATCCATCCATCTTCCATCCATCCATCAGCCAGCCAGCCATCCATCATCCATCCATCCATCCATCAGCCATCCATCATCCATCCATCCATCCATCAGCCATCCATCATCCATCCATCCATCCATCCATCCATCCATCCATCCATCCATCCATCCACCCATCCGTCCATCCACCCATCCATCAGCCATCCATCCATCAGCCATCCATCCATCAGCCATCCATCCATCCATCATCCATCCATCCATCCATCCATCCATCCATCATCCATCATCCATCCATCATCCATCCATCCATCATCCATCCATCCATCCATCATCCATCATCCATCCATCATCCATCCATCATCCATCCATCATCCATCCATCATCCATCCATCCATCATCCATCCATCCATCCATCATCCATCATCCATCCATCATCCATCCATCATACATCCATCCATCCATCAATCATCCATCCATCCATCCATCATCCATCCATCATCCATCCATCATACATCCATCCATCCATCAATCATCCATCCATCCATCCATCATCCATCCATCCATCCATCATCCATCCATCATCCATCCATCCATCATCCATCTATCCATCCATCATCCATCATCCGTCATCCATCCATCCATCCATCATCCATCTATCCATCCATCCATCCATCCATCCATCCATCCATCCATCCATCCATCATCCATCCATCCATCCATCAATCATCCATCCATCCATCCATCATCCATCATCCATCCATCATCCATCCATCATCCATCTATCCACCCATCATCCATCATCCGTCATCCATCCATCCATCCATCATCCATCTATCCATCCATCCATCCATCATCCATCCATCCATCCATCCATCCATCATCCATCCATCCATCCATCCATCATCCATCTATCCATCCATCATCCGTCATCCATCCATCCATCCATCCATCATCCATCTATCCATCCATCCATCCATCATCCATCCATCCATCCATCCATCAATCCATCCATCCATCCATCCATCCATCATCCATCCATCCATCCATCCATCCATCCATCCATCCATCCATCATCCATCCATCCATCCATCCATCCATCCATCCATCCATCCATCCATCCATCATCCATCCATCCATCCATCCATCATCCATCCAACCATCCATCCATCCATCCATCCATCCATCCATCCATCCATCCATCCATCAGCCAGCCAGCCAGCCAGCCAGCCAGCCAGCCAGCCACTGCCCCACCTCCCCTGTTGTCTGTCCATCCCTCCCCCCCCCAGTGCTGGGCTTAACCCCCCCAGTCGACTCAGCAATGGGGGGGAATGGGTGGAGCATCCCCCAAGCCCCACCCCCAAGGCCCCACCTCCAAGCCCCACCCCCTTCCCAAAGGCTCCACCCCACAAAGGGCGGCACCCCTAATGCCCTCCCATCACCCCGAGTCCCCCATGGGCACCCACCATGGGTCAAATCCTGCCATTTGGGGCCTATCCTAAAGCAAAGCAGGGATGGGACGGGATGGGGGGGGGGGTAGGACCCCCCCTTAGTGCCCGGGTTGGGGAGAGGAGCAGGACCCAGCCCCAGCAGCCTCTTCCCAGCTGGGACATGGGAAGCTGGAGGGAGGGAGCCCAGCGGGAGGCCCCGACCTGCTTATTACAGAGATTAACAGAGATTAGAGCCTCATGGCAGCGTCTGCCAGGCCGAGCTGCTCCCCCCCACCCTGCCCCAGTACTGACAGATCTGGGGCTCTTTGGGGCACCCCAGCATGGGCAGGGATGTCCTGGGGTCCCCAGGGGTGCCTGGATGCCCGGGTTGCCCTCCCATCGGATGCAGCATCTTTAATGTCCAAGGACATTGAGCTTGGATGGGGATTGGCTCCCTGTTTGGTCAGGGATGCCTGGAACACAGCCACATTCACCTTTTCCTTCCCTCTCTCCGGCCTTCCCCTGCTCTCTTCCTTGTCCCAGGCTACAAGAAGTCCCAGGAATCCCTGTGCTAGAGCACTGATCCTGCACCCACATTCAAATAAAGCTGCTGAAACCCATCGCTGCCTCCCCTGCTCCTCTTTGGGTTTGAACCATGGAATGGTTTGGGTTGGAAGGGACCTTAAAGCTCATCCAGCTCCAACCCCTGCCACGGGCAGGGACACCTTCCACTAGAGCAGCTTGCTCCAAGCCCCTGTGTCCAGCCTGGCCTTGAGCACTGCCAGGGATGGGGGCATTCCAAATAACACATCCTAGGTCGCTGCTGAGAGCATCTGGGCTGAAAATGGAGGAATTCAACCCAAAAGCTCAGCCCTTGGTGGGAGCACAGCGGGGATGCTCAAGCACCCCCATGGTTCCCACCCAGCCCCAGGTTGCTGCTGGAAGAGTCAAAAGGAGTAAAGAAAGAGATAAAGAAAGGATCAAGCCCCTACATCATCCCATTGTGCTCAGCTCCTCTCCAGCCCAAACATCACCAGTGTGGGAAGCACCAGGGGTGCAGGACCAGCCCCAAAACACCCACCAGGGATGGCGGAGATGGCAGAATACATCAAACCCCCCCAAAGCAGGAGAGGTGGAGGCAGGGGTAGACACAGTTGTAACAATTTATTGAATGAAGCAATAACAGACACTGGAAAAACAAAGGGGGTGGGGGGGGTGGTCCATGCTCTGCTACTTGCCTGGTTTGTGCCTCTTTGTGGGGAGGGCAGGGGGACAAAGGGCATCGTTTCATCGCCAAAGGAGCACTTGACTTGGAAAAGCCACCGACATCTTCACAACGACAATAGAAAAATAATCATTCCCAAAGAATTCCGCACGGTGGTCACCCACAGGGAGAGAACCAGGACCGCCTCGATGGGAAGATCTCCCTCCCCCTTGTCGAACAGCACGGAAGGAACGTGTACAAAGAACGTTTGGGATCGCTTCTTTTTGTCCATAGAAAACAAGGGAATACAAGAAAACCTGAAGACTCCCTCAAAGGTGGAGCGGGATGGGGAGGAACCTGTGAATGGGCACGTGGAAAGAAAACTTTAACACCAGCCCCCCCCCCCCCAAAAAAAAACAACCAACAAACCAACTCCAGAATTAAATAAGATGCACAACTTCATGAGTTGGGGGGGGCTGCGGCTGAGGAAGATCCATTGGGATGGGAGGGTTTGGCCTATGGGAACGTTAAGTAAAGTTCCCCCTCCCCCCAAATATCCCCTCCAAGGGCCTATTTATAACCTTCCTGGAAAAGTTTTGGGGATTAAAAGTCCTTTGGAGATGCACAAAGGGCAGGGGAAGGGATAGGTTGGAAGGTTGGGGATGGAGAAGGGGTCTCCCAAAGGGAAAGGGCTGCGCGTGTAGCCCCCCCATTACCTTCAAGTGAACCTTTTCCTGTGGGAATTGGACTCTGCGGGGATGGGAAGGGAGGATGTAGGGTCCTGGGGGGATAACGGGGACTGGGATGAGCCCAAGGTGGCTCTTTGGCGAGGGAAGTGCTGGGAAGGCGCTGGGCAAGCAGGGAAGAACGCAGCCGGAGCCCCTCCAGAGGCGTTCCCACTCGGGTTTAGATCCACAAAAAAAATGGGCAATAATAATAATAATAACAATAATAATAATAATAAAGGAAAGAAGAAGATGGACAATGGCAGGTACGTTCTGAGAGCAGAGAGTAAGAACAAGGTCTCCAGTGTGCACCAAGGGGAGCCGAGCGGAGCACGGCGAGGGGAGGGCGGCATTCCGCTGGCTCCTGGAAGAGCATCACCTCCTTCCCGAGGCTGCCGCCCCCCTGCAGTCACACATGCATTCCTTTATGTTATCCCAAGAGAGGAGCCTTTTCCCAAAATATTTTCCTGTTTTTTTTTTTTTTTGTGGTTATTTCATTTTGCTGTCATTATAAAAGTCCACGTTAAAATCGTTTGAAATCTAATTTGCCAAGTGCAGAGGGCCGTGCCCGGGAGCAGCTTCGGCTGAGGGTATCCACATTCCCCTCCACGCCTCATCCTGCTCCATCCTGTAGTGGGGAATTAGGGAATAAGGGGCTTGTTTCCTTTCGTTTTAGATCTCCTCGCAATGAAAGTCCCGTCACAATTTGGCTTCTCGCTCCTCCGAGAGCAGAGTGGCGCTGTGAAAACGCACTTTACACACATCCTCTGCTAAGATTATTCCCGTTTTCCTGGGTTTTTCCTTTTTTTTTTTCTTTCCTCCTTTTTTTCCTTTTAAAAAAGAAAAAAAAAAGTTAACAAAACTTCAAACCCTTTGCTTCCAAAGCTGGAGACTCGATGCCACCTCAATGCATCTCTGGAGAGGCGTAAAAAACTTTTAAGTCGCATTGAGAGACGAGGAAAACCACCGTGATCCTGGCTCGGGGAACATCACTGTTCCAAGGTGACCACTTCCACTGCCTGCCCGTCCACGGTGACAGCACTGTCCCCTATCCTTGTGGTAACGGGGGCCATCGCCACCTGAACGGGGCCGTTGCCTTGGGCCAGGCTGGTCACCACGGTCTGGTACATGCTGACGGGGATCTGGACGAGACCTGAGGAGACAAGAGAAGGAAACTGGTTGGGAGAGAAGGAACAGAGCTGGGGGGGGGGAATGAGGCAGATGTGGCCATGAGCTGAGGTCCCAAGGGGTTTGGAGGATGCATTTGTGCTGCTCCAGAGATGATCCTTTGGATTGATGGAGTCCTGCATCCAGCACTGGGGCAGCAGCACAAGAGGGACGTGGAGCGGTTGGAGCGAGTGCAGAGGAGGCCATGGAGATGCTGCGAGGGCTGGAGCAGCTCTGCTCTGGAGCCAGGCTGAGAGAGCTGGGCTGGGTCAGCCTGGAGAAGAGAAGGCTCCTGAAGGGGAGACCTTAGAGCAGCTCCAGTGCCTAAAGGGGCTGCAGGAAAGCTGGAGAGGGGCTTTGGACAAGGGCCTGTATGGACAGGCCAAGGGGAATGGCTTTAACCTGCCAGAAGGGAGACTGAGATGAGCTCTTAGGCAGAAGCTCTTCCCTGTGAGGGTGCTGAGGCGCTGGCACAGGGTGCCCAGAGAAGCTGTGGCTGCCCCATCCCTGGCAGTGTTCAAGGCCAGGTTGGACACAGGGGCTTGGAGCAAGCTGCTCTAGTGGAAGGTGTCCCTGCCCGTGGCAGGGGTTTGGAACCAGAGGAGCTTTAAGCTCCCTTCCAACCCAAACTCTTCCACGATTCTCTGATTCCCACTCCTATATTACCTACCTGTACTCACCACTGCCTTTGGCTTGGCAGAGCTTGATTTAGACAAGTGAACCTCTAAAAGCCACCTTGTACATGACATTATGCAACCTATCCCCACCTCTGTTGGGGGAAAAAACAGCATTTAGAGGTCACTAAATCCTTCCAGGCAGCAGCACTGGATGCCCAGCCCTGAAACAGCATTGAAATGGTTTAAGACAGCAGGTTCCTGACCCAGCATTCCCAAAAAAGCAGCCCAATCTCTTTTGATTCAGGTTTCTGTGGCAGAGAGCAGGCTCTGTCCTGCCAAGGGCACTTGTTTAATATCCCAAGCTTGGTGTCCTTAGATAACTTCCAGTACAGACAGGAAAGCTTACGAGTTAATCGTGCTGACCAGGTGGGTGACCCCAGCAGAGCACAGTGAGCTTTGGAGCCCTTCAGCATCCCTCCTCTCGGGATCTCAAAGCACCCTGAGGGTTGGAAAATGTCAGGATCCACCCAGCCAAAGGGCTGCCCCACACCAGGAGATCCCCAAACCACACTTGTGCAGTTCACAGCCCAAGGGAGGAATTGCTTTCCTGGTGGGAAGGTTCAGCACTGACTGCTACAAATGGTGTGGAGTCAGAAGGTGAAAAGGTCCCGTGATGCTTTCCAATAGATGGGAGTTTTCAGGAAACAAAACACTGAAATGAGAGCTCACACTCAACCCTCCTGAAGAAAATCTCCTATATCAGACCCTTCAATGAAATAAAGCACATCCTGGTTGAAGGAGATGCTGGCACAGATATGGGGATCTGGCCTGGGATGCACCTAAAAACCCCACTCCAGACCAACAACCCAACTAAGCCCTTTGGGTTTCTTGCATTGCTAACCTGAAGGAGACTGCTGGAGGTCTCAAATGAGTCTACTCCCCATGGCCAAGCCAAAGAGCAGAGTCACCACTACCCTCCTGGACCACAGAGTGTGCAACCTGAAAAGCCTTATCCCTTCATGCTCTTCATACACATTGAACACCAGCCAGGGTAGGGGTGCTGCCAAAGACGGGTTCTACCAAAAGATGGGGAGATGTGAAGACCCAGTGGGGGTCTTCTTTGGAAAGGATGAGTTCATGCTCTAGTGGAAGGTGCCCCTCCCCATGGCAGGGGTTTGGAACTGGGTGAACTTTAAGGTCCTTTCCAACCCGAACCATTTTAGGATTCCCTGATTGACGTCACCCAAGGTTTGGCACATCTTGGAAAGCAGGGAAGTCTCGGCGAGAGACAGCAACACGCAGCTCCCTTTCTGCATGGGATTAAACTAAATCGCCTCAGCATCTGACGTAGCAGCCTTCCTGCCAGGGGTGGTGACAACCCAAAGGAGGAGAGGGCTGCAAAGTCTGCTGTGCACTAAAGCAGAGCTGATCGCCCTTGGGAGAGAGACGATTAAAGCATTGAGATGCTGTAATCAGGCCTAGGATTGGCCCTGCACTGCATCTGCTCAGACCTGCACCCTGATTAGCCCTAATCTAGCTGGCATATGTTAATCTAAAGCATGGATTTCAGACCCTTTCAATTGTATTAAAACCAGGAAATCCATTAGACAATAAAACCCCCAACTTCTTGAGTCTTTGAAGAACAAAGAAAGTGGAGCTGGGAACAAGGAAACACAGGAGAACCAAGTCAGGGAAGAGGGATCCCACTGGATCCCACACAGCTCCTGCCTCAGCAGATGCGATGAATCGCATGCCAGGTGGAACTGATCATGGCCACAGGCTCCTGGCAAGCAGGAAGATGCAGCCAGGCTGTGTGTTTGCTTCCCCTTCATGAAGCCACCCTAAAAGTCCATGTGCAAGTGGTGGGTAAGACATGAAGCCCAAGCGTCTCTTTCCCCTTTGAATCACCCGTTCCTGGCCACCAACCTCACCTACCTGCCAGCACTTGTCTTTGACAAGGATGAGGAGCCAGCTCCAGGACAAGGACACTTACACACAGAGCTGGGGCAGAGCCAGCACCAAGGTCCTGCATTTCACTTACCTGCAGCATGCCAGGTTAAGTTGGTGGAGGACCAGCTGGCTTTGCTGTGGCATGGCCATCACTGCCTGGAAGCCATGGAGTGGAATGGGTGAGAATCCAAGGCTGTGGCAAGCCTTAGGGGTTGAGATAGCCACCACGAATCAAAGGATTAGAGACGGCTGCAGCTGGACTCCACTGCTGGGTCAGATCATATTAGTGGCTGCATTTTAGTTGGGGGACTGTGACAGCTGTAGGAGATAATGAAACTCCTGCTGTTTCAGCAGAGAAGACATTAGAGCTCCCAGGAGAAGAAAGGTAAGGGTTAGGCTCTACCTGCAACCAGAGAGCAGCACGATTCAGAGGTGAAACATCACACGATGGCTGATAGAGACATCTTACCTGGCATGGAGGCAGAGCAGCAGCAGCAGCAGCATAAGAACAGTTTTGATCCTAAATTGCAGGTGACTGGATTAGATCACCACAAAGGGCTTTGGGGGAGAAGGTCAGGTCAGTGGGTGAGCAGTGCCCTGGAGATCCAGGACAGTTGATGCTCAGGGGACCAGGGTCATCAGTGCCTGTTTCTGCCTGACTTTAACACCTCTTCACCCTTGAGATCACAGCAAGTGCAGCACGAGGAAAAGGTACAACCAACCTAAAGCTGTAGCATTTCACAGTAGATATTCCTGCAACTTCTTTCTTCCCCTCCTCCAGAGGCGCCAGGCTGAGCAATCCAACCCAAATTCCTGTGCTCAGGAATGCACCACAGGGCCCTAGCACCCAGGTTAGCAGATACTGTTCCACACAGAGCCAAAGGTGACTTTTGAAGACATGATGGAAGAATTCTCACAGACAGTTCAAAAGGACCAGGGTGCATCTTAATGCACACAACTCAAGCAGGGAAATGCATCAGTAGATCTCCAAACAATGAAACATTAGCCCTTGGTGGGCAGCACAGTGAAAGAGCACTGGGCATGATTTGATCTCTATACCTAGGATAGTCCATAAATACATCAGGACTGATGCAGATAAATAGTGAATAACCTGATAGTCTTATCCATAGTGGGACAGAATAAGATTTGAACATGAAGCACAGCATGGAAAACTGCACTGGGAGGGGGAACCCAGACAATAGCTAAATATAAGGCTGGTGAAGCTCTGGAGCAAAGTCTCCATCACTGGAGGTCTTCTAGAGCCATCTAAGACGGATGCTGGCTCAGGCAAGGGGGAGGTGTAAGTGATCACTTGAATCCCTTTCAGCCTTGAATGTGAACAAGATTCCAGTGGCTCTCCTTTAGTAGAGAAGCTTTGGTCCACTGGTGATGGAGTCCCCAGTAAGCAAATCCGAGACAGTGCTAGGACATACTGGACAAACCAGTTGGCACTAGAGGTATTTCTTGACAGTAAACTTGACTCACAGTCAACCATGAGATACACCTTATTCTCCCAGCCACGCATAACGTCTTTAGCAACATGACAAACCAGGAGGGGCTCTCTTACACCCCACTGTGCTCCTGGTTTTAGAAAGGACAGTCATACATATTAGAATCATAGAATGGTTTAGGTTGGAAAGGACCTTAAGATCATCCAGTTCCAACCCCCCTGCCATGAGGAGCAGCGATGCCTCACACTAGGACATGTTCTCCAAGGCTTCCGTCCAACCTGGCCTTGAACATTGCCAGGGACGGAGCGTTTACCACTTCTTTGGGCAACCTGTTCCATTAAAGAACTTCTTCCTTGTATCTAATCTTGAGCAGCTTCGTTCGGAGTCAGGTGTGTTCTGGTATTATTGACTACCAGTATTGACACCACCACCAGCACATAACTGCAGAGCAACCGTGTCCTTCAACTGAATCCTGCAGCAAAGACCATTCCCATCCTCACCGAGACAGATAACCACAGTGCTGGAGACTACCTGGTGCATTCCTGCTGACACAAAACAGTTCAGCAAGCACATTAAAAGCTCCCACAACAGACTTCTATTAAATCCACATTGTTTTGCATGGAAACCTGCCTTGCCAAGATTCACAGAAACTATCATCTTCACCATGTCCCTTCTGGGGGACTGAACGGAGAGCCTTCTGGTGGGGGGAAGGACAGGCAATGGTCATGAGGATGTGTACTCAGAAAACCAACCCAGATCTCCTTGACAAGCTCAAGTCACAGCAGCTGAAATGAGTGCTCTCAAAGTCACGTTACCCTGAAAATCCTGTGACCATAGAGAAGAAACATCCACAAACTGAAGGTGTCCCTCGAGATCCGAGGTGTTGACACGACACCATGGATGGGATTTCACCCAGAGCCCACTGCAGAAATCAAGCATTTCAGGAATCCCACCGCACTCAGTGGTGACAAAGGAAGCAGAAGACATCCCTTAACACAGGCACCTACTTGAAGATAAGACAAACTATCTTCTGAAAGCACGCCCTTCTTATTCTTCCCCAACTACTGCTCGAGCATCAACGAGTAACTCAAATTAGATGTCTCTTAGGAGAAGATGATGACTGGAAGAATTTTCACCATCAGAATTGGCTTTCTGACAGCTCACAAAAAGCCCATGCAGTGATTTCAGCTCTGAAAACTTCCTAGGCACACAACACCCACAGCTCTCCCCCGTACATCCTCTGCGCCATTCATATCAACACACAAGAATTGTTCTACCAAATGCTAATGTGAAAGATGCTGCAGCCCTTGTTCTGCTGGCTCACCTCAACATCATCCAGCATCTATCTTTTCAAATGCTATTCTGGTCAAAACCATAATAAAGAGAAAGGCACCAAGGCACCGAGTTTTGATAGCAAAGCTGAACCATGGAGCACTAAACTATTGCAATCTAGTAGGTTACTTCATACCCTTAATTTATCCTCAGAACAGAAGATAAGCACAGGAGACAAACCAAGATGCAACATTTCCAACAATAACTACATAGAATGGAGGAAGGACAGCCCTGGTGCCACTGTTTCCTTCCTTGCATCTACCCCATCTTCATGACCACATCTCAGTCTCTCAGATTGTCCTTGGGTGTCACCTACCTGCTTAATATTGTCATTGACTTGTCCTTTCCTTAGCTCCTCTTGCTGTGCTTCAATGAACCTTCCTTCTCTGCTCATTCAGAGCAATGGGAGCTGCTGTCTCAGTGACCCATAAAGTCTAACTGACCTGGGACCTCCAGCCCTCTACCATCAGAAAGGCAGAGGTGCAACACCATGTTTCTATGGCTCATTCTTCCTCCTGCTCAGTCAGCTTCAGCAAAGACTGCTAAATGCTTGTTATGTTCTATCAAGGTGTTGGTTTAAACCCCAAGTTTGGATGTTTGGATTTTATTTATCCCCAGGTCCCAGTAAGAGACCAACCTTCATTCTCTAGCTGCAAGAGGACAGCTCATTGCATTTTGATACACATCTATTTTCTTCCTCTCTAGAAGGAGGGAAAGGTCACAGTTTAGCCAAGACCTGAAACACCTTTGGCTTAATCTCCCTGATTTCTGGTCTTTTACTTTTGCCTCTACAGCAGAAGCAGGCAATCCATCCTCACAAAGGGACCACTCAGTTACCTGTGGCTCCTTTCAGCAGACCACAGCAGGGCAAGAGACAGCAGCACCTCCCACTCTGCTCAATACACAATCCAAGGGAATAGAGCAGCCCAGCCTTCATCCCATAAAGATGACACGGCAGACACCACTCTCCCTTGTCAAATAAATAACAAGATTCCTGAAGACAATTCCACAGCTTTTGGGGGTTTTGAGTTTTGGGGTTGGTTTTTTGGGAGTTCTTTTTAAGTTGCAGTACCTTGAGACAAAAACTCTGGGTCTGGGATTCCTGATTTACTGTCTCTGTTGCTATAGGTCTATACAACTTACCCAGTGGCATACAGACAGGTGCTCATGGAATTACCTCCTCTGAAGCCCCAGCATTTCCACGGGAAGAGGAAGATCCCAGTGACCCAATTTGGTACCCAGACTCTTCCCTGGCACAGCAAAGACTCGGTGTCTTCAAGCAGTGGTGACAAACATGTCCTTCACTGATGACACTTCACCACTGCCATGCACCTCTGTCTTTGCAGCCCTTTCCTGACTTACCAGAACTCTTCCACCCGCAATCATCTGCCGTGAGGGTAGTAACATAAGGAAAACCCTGCAATTCCTTTTGACACTGGAAATGATTTATCTGAAATCCCATACCTCCTGGTTCAGTCTCATTTTGATGGAGCTGAAAACTCCCATGAAAAAGGTGCTTGGGAAAGAAGGCAAAGAGGGAATCTGGTATCCTGATGGTGGATTAGCTTCGTGCCTTCAGCCTAGGATCTAAGGTTACCTGTCCTTCCCTCTCCCCTTCAGGGGGTCTTGAGGCTGAATTTAGAGCTTGATAACAGGACCTGGGCATCGGCTGAGGCAGTGTAAAGCTGCATTGCTTCAAGCACTAGCCCTGGGTCCCCAGGACATGGCACTTTAAACCCAACCCAATTTAGTGTGTAGGGAAGGTGACAAACACGAGGAGTGCATGCGTCTTCCTGCAAAAAGAAAGCTTTTTTTACCAGACTCCACAGATGAAAGCTTAGTGAATAACCCTTCTAAGCTTCCCTGATCGGCTGACTTGCCTGTGGAGAGAACGGTACACCTGATAAGATTAGCAGTCTATCATGGTCAGTTATGTATATAGCAAACACAGTTAAAAATAGAGGAAGTACAGCAACCCCCAGTGCCTGCTTCAGTGGGGATTTGCTTTTCTTTCAATCTCTTGCCTGCCAACAAAGAGATGGAGCAGAAAGTGTCATCAGTGCCAAGCTTCTCAGGAAGTAGAGGTAGGAGACATCTAACAGTGAATTAGTCTGCTCCTCTTACGAGAAATCAGATATTAAAATGATGATTGGACAAGGGGGCAATATCACGGGATGGTTTGTATTGGAAGGGACCTTAAAGCTCCTCCAGCTTTAACCCCTGCCACAGGCAGGGACACCTTCCACTAGAGCAGCTTGCTCCAAGCCCCTGTGTCCAACCTGGCCTTGAACACTGCCAGGGATGGGGCAGCCACAGCTTCTCTGGGCACCCTGTGCCAGCGCCTCAGCACCCTCACAGGGAAGAGCTTCTGCCTAAGAGCTCATCTCAGTCTCCCCTTAGCACCTTAATATTTCTGAGCAATCACCTAATAGGGATCCCTGTTACATTTTGCCATAAATACTTTCCTGACTTGCTGCTATGCTGTTAACATCTACAGGGACTCTTCCAGAAGAAGAATTGCCTATTAAGGCTGACTCTTATCCCACCTTTAAAAACAGCCTTTAGAGTCCTGTATCTTCTATATGATTTTCTTACAAGCTACTGTGAGAATGAAGAGAGGGTACCATCTAGAATTGATAACATTTTATATTACTTGAATGGCAAAAGTCCACTTCGGAATAAAGTCATTTAAATTGATTTATTTTTTTTTAAGCACTGAAATATCACATTTTTTAATGAACTATTTGGCTGAATTTCTGCAGGAACAATACTCTGGGCATCCTTGTAAATGAGAAATAGCATATAAAGGCAATACAGTTGCATAGAAAAAGGCAGTTGTGCCCACAGTCCAAAAGCTGGTGGACTTCCATCAGCAGAAGCATCAACGGTCACTCACATACAAGCTCTTGTATGTATCCTCCTGGGCTGTCTGAGACAGGGCACCACTTACTACTTCACTTAGGTTACTGTTAACAACATTCAGCCTATAGCTTCTTAAAGCTGATGGGTGCTGAGAGGGTGTTTGTGGGGTTTTCTCTCCTTTGCATTGCTGCTTTAACTCTGCATCTCATCCACAACCTTTAGAAAGCCACATTTATTAGATCCAAGAATCCCAACATCATCCTGCCCCCCCCCCCCCCAACCCCATCCATCACCACAGAACTGCTTCTGGAGTGTTATTAACACACAGGCTCTGGGCCCAGCTCTGCCTGCTTCTAAGTCTTTACTTAAGTAATCATTAAGAGAGCTCAGCTTTCCTAAGGCTAACAGGATGGGGCTGTAAGATACTCAAACATCCCAAAGGCATTGCACACCTCTACCCAACAGCCAAAACAGTGTCCATGCCCAGAGCAGCGGCTCAGACAGCCATTACAGGATGCCTGGATGTAAATCTATATCTGACATGTGATATCTTCCCCTTGGAAGTGTGAAAGGAGGACCAAAATGCAGACAGATGGGTACAATCCCTTTAAACCCAAAAAAATACCACAGGCAAGAACCTAAAGGACCAAGTGACAACACCAGTTACATCCCATTATTCCAAACTACCATCACAAAAATCCACTCACCTGGTGAACACTCTGTTAGGCTCCACTTGCAACCTGAATAGTCTGCTGTTAGGAAGCCTGACAATAAAATGCAAGTGTAAAAGGCTGAACAAAAGCCAAACACTACAACTGGGGAGAGGCAGATTAATTGGGGTCAATAATGTATTCGTAAGAAATACAGCTTTTTGCTTACTAAGTGAATTAAAATACTCAGTGTCCACATATGAGTAGAAATTACTATGTTTGCATATGAGTAACACCCCAATATTAGGCACAGTAACTAAAACATTTCTACCTCTATACAGAACATTACGTGCATAAGTGGGAGGTAGAGTAAGGGGGAGGCAAATGTAAGATACTTGCAGGTATTTGTACTGTATTTTACAACTATTTAGATGAAAGGTTCAATTGGACCAGAGGGGCCTGATGAGAAATGGCTGCACTGAAGTGAGAGTAGTAAAATCCATCTTGGAGAAGCTAAGGCTACCTCCAGTAAAGCTCTCCACTATTCCCCCACGTAGAGGGATGAGAAATGAATGAGAAGCAGAAATGGTGCCAAAGTGACATTTCTATGTATCCCAAGAGCACAAGGCTGGAAAGTTCATGAAATCCAGGCGCTCATTGTCCTCTGAAAGGAACTTGATGTATTTTTAAGGCTCGGACAGACTCGGATCTCAATGAGTTTCAGAAGTTCGTATGCTGCGCAACAGATCACATGTGAACACGAACATTAGCATATACTACAGAGCATTTAGCACACGGAGCTATAAAGCAGCTATTGTTCTGGTAGTAAGGTAATACGTAACCAGATAGTCCCTGGCTTCATCTAAAAACCATTTTCCCAGCATTTCCCTGACTTGGTCCGCTGGAGCCTCTCTGCTACAACAGAGTGCACATTCATGGCCAACAAACGGGTCCAAAGTGATGGGTTCTCTCCCCCAGTGCCCCACTCCCAGCCCCTACACCTCTCTGATGGGTGAAATGGTGCTCTTAACCCAAGAGAAGTGACATGAACTTCCAGCCCAGAAAGGTGCACAGCTTCTGGAGGAGGATAACGCCTTGGGAAGCTTTACAGGATAACGCCTGTTCAAAGCTTTACCTTGCAGATATGGAAAGCTGCAACTCTGGTTGAGCCTTACCTGTTTTAGTTCCAGCACTAGCTAGAAGGAAGTAAGCATTCTTCGTTTCTTCTTGGGGGAAAAAGGGGTAGATGCACACCTTAACAGTCCTTTTTTCCCTCTTCTTCAAAGCATATCCTTCCAAGCTAACTGTAAAAGCAATCCCTGCTACAAACCAGCACATCCTCTCATTGCAATGGTGTTAAGTGTCACAGTGCTTTGGTGTCTGCAGGCTGTCCTCTTCATAGGACCACATACCCATCTGGCACAGATCCTCCCCTTTTTTCTTCTGCGTCCCATCCTCAGCAAGGTAAGCAATAAATCATGGTGAGCACACAACTCGGGCGTTGAATGTATCATGTAAAGAGCAAGTTTTTACAGTCCACATTCCTCCTTTTCACATACACACCACTGTCATCCACTGTCTGGGCCGCACAGCAAGTGGGATGGATTCCTACCTCTCACTCCCAGGAGTACTTATTCCTGGTATGCTACTGCCTCTGGCAGATTCCTCCTTTTTAAACCCTGCACATATGTTGATAGAAAAACAAGCTTGGACTCTGGCCTGGTGACTGAAGGCACAAGAACATTGGTTAGGTCGCTGGAAGCCTCTTTGAATGCCAAGAGAAGGCAATGATGGGTGCAGGGAGAGAAATGACCATTTGCTTTACAGGAAGCAAGGGTTTTCCAGGTGTTTTGTCCCAGTGGATCCCACCAGCATGCAGTGGCCTGCAAAGGGGAGACTTGTGGCACATGCACCCACATGGACAAAAGCTGCAAGAAGAATCAAGCAGCTGCTTGTGTAAGAGCCTGTCCTGTGGCTGCCCGGGCAGGACGCAACAGGTTGGAAAGTGCTTCCTGAGAGTGAAAGGAGCTGTGGTGGATGGAGAATCCTTCCTGCTTTGCATCTGTTGTGGGTGATTCACAGAGTCACAGCCTGGTTTGGGTTGGAAGAGACCTTAAAGCTCATCCAGTTCCAACCCCTGCCACAGGCAGGGACACCTTCCACTAGAGCAGCTTGCTCCAAGCCCCTGTGTCCAACCTGGCCTTGAACACTGCCAGGGATGGGGCAGCCACAGCTTCTCTGGGCACCCTGTGCCAGCGCCTCAGCACCCTCACAGGCAAGAACTTCTGCCTAAGAGCTCATCTCAGTCTCCCCTCTGGCAGGTTAAAGCCATTCCCTTTGGCCTGGCCCTACAGGCCCTTGTCCAAAGCCCCTCTCCAGCTTTCCTGCAGCCCCTTTAGGCACTGGAGCTGCTCTAAGGTCTCCCCTTCAGGAGCCTTCTCTTCTCCAGGCTGAACCAGCCCAGCTCTCTCAGCCTGTCAGACCAGAGTCCCATTCACTGACTGTAGGGAAGGCTGCTCTAGCTCAGACCACAGGTCCGTCACACCAGAAGCAAGGAAGCACATCCCTGACAGCAGCAAGCCCAAAACTCAGCCCAGTCCAAGTCTTGGTTATTTCCTGTGAGACTTCAAACCTCTTAACTCCTATTTGGAAGTGCTACTTGGACCCTGGTTTGTACCAGGAGCATCTGAGAAGATCTGGCACACAAGGACATAGTAACACATCCATGGGTCAGAGCAGCAGGGAACAACCACAGGCCAAAGCCACTGATGGGGTTTAATCGAACACAAGCACCCCCGGCTGCTGCTCCCTGTGACTTCAAAGGAGTTGAACACACTATATTTATGCCAGCAATAAAGCTCAGCTTCCATTAGCTCTATGCTCACCATTTAAACGCAGTGGTCCTGTCGTGCACACACCAATTAGAGACCCCTAATGCTTGGGAGTACAAAGCTTTCTCTTTTTCCTCCTGTATTTGATGGGAAGGGGTGGAAGGGAAGAGATTAGCCGGCTCAGGGGAATAGCAGAGAGAGCCTTTCACTGTGGGGCTCGTGCTCAAATCTGTCATAGACCAGTGGTAACAGATGGCCACTTCTGAAGGCTGGTTTGTAGCTTACATGAAATAAGGGATTGTCTTAGGCCACTGGTGGACAAGTTATTGAAGCCACAAACACACTGCTGGTGGTTTCTGGCAGAGAAACCAAGGGATTACACAGGTACAAAGCAACTGCTGCCTACCTGATCAAAGGCACCTCCTTCCTGGAGGGAATCGAGGCAAATTGCTGGCAGCTTAGGGCTGCTGCCGCCTGTGCAGTGCAGGAACCTCTGGCTGCACAAGCCCGGATCTCAGTCCAAGCCTGCCTGCTTTAGCTGTCATCAGCTCCTTCCACTCGTCAGCGCCAGCCCCTGCTCACTGAACTTCCCTCTGGATGCATTTGAGGTTTCAAAGATTAAAATTGTGGGGGAAATGGAGATGAGGAAGATCAGGGATCTGTGACAATAAGGAGGCAGCAAACCCATAGGATCATAGAATGGTTTGGTTTGTGTTGGAAAGGACCTTAAAACTCCTCCAGCTCCAACCCCTGCCATGGGCAGGGACACCTCCCACTAGAGCAGCTTGCTCCAAGCCCCTGTGTCCAACCTGGCCTTGAACACTGCCAGGGATGGGGCAGCCACAGCTTCTCTGGGCACCCTGTGCCAGCGCCTCAGCACCCTCACAGGGAAGAGCTTCTGCCTAAGAGCTCATCTCAGTCTCCCCTCTGGCAGGTTAAAGCCATTATCAGAAAGTCTGCATCAGTCTGTAAGCTGTGTATAACAAGTAATACCATGACTAATTTTAAACCAAACCCAAGGTGCTGCTCCCTCAGTCTTTCCCTTCTCGCAGTCTGTGTCTTCTCAGGGACACACTTTAACCTTCTGTAGGGCACATGGCAAAAGTCCATCAGTGGCCAAGTGTCCCTGGAGCAGAAGGGGCCGACATAAGCCACCACAAAGTGTTACTTGGAGAGGAATTTGGACACACCTGGGAATAAATTAAGACAAAGGATATGGGAGGTGGAAGGAACAAGATAAATTCAGGCTTAGAAATGCCACTTCAGGTGAAAATGTTCTTTTTTCTCCTAAGAACCTATTTCACAGCTTCCCATTGACTCACAGAAGGACGTGTGTGCTCCTGACCTGGGAGTGTGGCTTTGCAGCAGGGGCTGCTGTAGCTCCAAGCATCCCAACCTGCTGATGTATGGGCTCAGGCAGCCAAAGAGACGACAGGCATCCTGCAGCAAGCAGAAGCCACATCCTGCTCTCCTGTGCTGGGCTGCCAGGGTCTGCAGTGCAGGGAAAATAGGGCGATTCCCCTGCAATCTTCCTGCACAGCTGGGTACTAGCTGCGGATTACTGCTGTCACATGAGCTGCTTTACAGCAAAGCCAAGCTGTCTTCATGAGCTGAGAAGGTCACTGGGAGACACGGGCCTCCAGGGACAAACACACCAACCTCTACCGCGGCTGTGATTTACCTCCCAGAGTGACCCAGGTGGCAAGAAAAGCATCCCTGACCAGTCAGAGGGCAATGAGAACTGGTTTTACCTTCAAGCCCTCTGCCCCGTTACCATTAGGACTCACTCAGTGAAAGGGGAGAGGAGGGATACCTCCGGTCTCAAGCTGTTCTTTACCAGGCTGCAATCAAGGTGCCGGATGGCTGGAACAGTCCTTACAGTGACAGATTTACTGTCTCATCTTTGTGTGCCCATCCCACCAACCTCTTGGACAAGACCACTAGCCTTGGACAAGTGTCACCAGCCAAAGGATGCCAAAGTGGAAGAGCTGCGTCTCCCCAGGCTCTCATGCAACCTGCCGATGCCTCAAAGCATGCATGAATCAATCCTACAGCAAGAAATGTCCTTTATAAACCCAAAATCTAACCACTGAACATCAGGGCCAACGAAAAGGAGCAAGTTTCATTTGGAAAAACAGAAGTCTGAAGGTTCAGCGTGTCCACTTGGGAAAAAGCATTAAAACCTCCCATCTTCATCATTCTGCCATAGGCAGTCTGGTGACAATGAACACATTTCTACAAGAGATCACTCACAGGCTCAGTGGTTGCAGGATGTGGCTCTTT